GTTGGTTCAGGTTTCACTGTCTCTTGTGTCATGAAAGACAACTTTTTAATCTTTTTCTTTTCTATCTTCTGTACATTACCCGGCTACTGTTTACTCATCAGTTCCCAGACTTGAAATACATCACACATATAACTTTTGTCCCAATTTGGATTTGGAACTGCAGTATTGTCAATCAGATATTCACGAATTCCATCTAATTTGGATTTAGCTAAACTTCCATCTCTAGGTTATCTATTGTCTGTCCACTCAGATATATTAGAAAGGGTTCAACATTATAAAATCCTAGTTTAGTTTGCATCCATTCTCTCAGTGTCATCTGCTCAAGGGCTTTGGTTGGGATATTTTTCAAATGGGGGTTCATTTTCAGTAATTTTTTCATAGCATTATGCTCCTTTTTTGGTAAGTCCTGCTCTGATCTATTCTTAATTTGTATTGTTTTACATTGTGATGCTTTACTCCCTTTATGTCCCATGGTTAAACTTCATATGTTAATAACACAAATATACATGCATTCGCATATTGAGGAAGAACTCGTTCATAAATTGTTCGTAAACAGGAATTAACAATTTAAACATAAATTAATAATTTGTGTTGTTTTAATTTCATGGACTAGGCTTAAGTCTGCTATGTGTCAATGCTGCTCGATCGATCGAGACCAGAGTTGGGTAAGGGTTACTTTAAAAGTAATCAATGTACTTTACTGCGTTACTCTTAAAAAAGTAACCATTTACTTTACTTTGTTACTCCCTGAGTAAAGTAACTCAAGTACTTTTAAAGTATTTCCAACGTTACTCCCTGAGAAAAGTAACTCAAGCACTTTTAAAGTACTTTTGAGTATTCTACATTTCCTATTGGGCAATGGACCACAGGGCGCTAAGTTATGGACAACTTGCCCTTCACTGAGATCCAATTCTCCCATCACAGCCATCACTTTGACCAGTAGAAACACAGAACGATCTGCTGCCGTAGACAACTGTATGACAACACCCCAGCGTTTTTAATATTTCCTCTAGGGATACTACCACACAGAGTAAAAAGGGGAAATGATGGTGTGAAACAGCAGAGGCACTTTTTCAACCTGCTGAGTACTGTCATTAGCATCAAGCTAGCAAACAATGTTACATCCTTACAGAGAGACTGCAGAGGCTACCAGCTTCATTTGAAACAGACTACATTATAGACGGTCCGTCATTTATTAATCCCTCTGTATCTTTATATATTTACTTTTTATCCGCTCCCATTGTCTTTTATAAAGTTAACACATTGCGCCGTCATTTCAAACTCAACACTTCCTGAATTTCTTTCAAATTAAAAGCCCTTATAACCTCCGCTGAGAGAATCCCTCCATTTTCTAAATGGGCTTTTATTCTGAAACATTTGTAGGAACTTGGTTGTGGAGGATACAGTAGCTTAAATGTTTACGTACGGTACTTCAAATGGAGCTCCTGCCATCTGCTGATGCTTTTAGGTGACTACAACAACATTTTGGCTGGCACATGAACAGACACAGTGACTCAAATAATAGTAAAAGTAATAAAAATAGGACAAGAATAACCTGATGACATCACACACGCCTTGAAAGACAACCGGGGATAACTGGTGAGTACCATCGTGTAGTGTGTCATGTCTGTCGGCCAAGTCACGGCACGAGTTTATGACTCCACAATCGTGTAATGTGACATAGTGACTTTCAAAACGGGCAGAAAAGTCACGTAGTATGTACCAGGCATAATGCACCTCCTGAGTCTGACCTGTCTGTCAGCGAGTCCTCCTCCACCTTTTTTTAGACTCCACCCTAGACAATGGCAGCATTTCTTCTACCACGTAGTGAGCCACAAGCTTCATGACTTCTTTCAGACTGATAGGTTTAACGTTATCTCCATTATTAGAACCAAAAGACAGTCGTTGCTGTTTAAAAGTAACAGAAGTAACTGATGGCTTGTTTGAAAATGTACTCAAGTATTTGATTACTCAAACAGCAAACTACAATTCCACCAGTCACACCACAATACACGGAACATCACGTATCTGCCTATTTGGTGAACATGCCCATGTGGCAACGCTGATACACAGCAGTACAGAGCCTTTCAGAATAAATCAGTTATAAGTAATGCAAGTAATTTCTCAGAATCATCCACAGAACTACTCAGGTACTTTTTAGGTGCGCCTTAAAGGTAAGCAGAAAAGCTCCATATATGAAAGATGAAGAAAAAATTCTGTTTACCTTTAAAGGTGCACCTTGACCTTTTGTGACGCCATTGAGAGTAGGTGTTTCTGTGATGATCTGGAGAATGCAAGGATGAGGCCGATCACGGAGTTCTTTCTTAATGCACGTTTATTACGAGCTCGGATCAACATTGGCCTCATGCAGAAGCTATGTGTGATACATAAACAGAAAGAGACACGGCTTATATACTAAGATAGTAGCACATGTGCTGTTACCTACATGGTGCTTTGCCAAATTTAACTTGGCCTTCGGCCAACTAAAATTAGTCTAACTTGTCCATCTAGCATTTCTGACATCATGATCCTCAGGGGTTCTTTGGCCTAGTATCCATTGGTCAGTGAAGATGTAAAAATACATACTAACAGTGTCCCTCATGTAGTCTCTAAAGTATCTCCAGTCTCAGGCTGTGTGGAATTATAATCCTGTTGTCTCTCAACAACAGTCCATTTGCCACACTTAGCTCTGATCTGATGTGATAATATTTTGGACAGGACCCCTTGGGCCAGCCACTCTGGATGTGTTTTATCACTGTTTGTAGCTCCTTATCTTTAGCTGTGTCTTCACTCATTTGTTATTCATCTCTGGAGCTTGTGATAGTGCATCTGCTAACACTAGGTGCTTGCCTGGTATGTATATCAACTCAAAGTCATACCTTTACATTTTCATGAGGCGCTGAATCCTTGGCGACATCGTCGAGAAGACGATGATCTGTCTTGACTGTGAAGGTGGGAAGACCATAGACATAGCAATGAAATATTTCCAGTCCATAAGCCAGTCCAAGACATTCTCTCTCAATTTGAGCATATCTTGTTTCAGTCTTAGTCATGGATCTGGAAGCATAAGCAACTGGCTTCCAACCATCTCCTTCAACTTGCAGCACGACAGCTCCCAGCCTGTCCTTTGAAACATCTGTTGAAATCTTCAGTTTCTTGGTTGGATCATAATATGCAAGCACGGGGGCAGTCGTCAGTGTGGTCTTTAACGTATTCCACTATTGTTTATTTCTCGCTGTCCACTTGAATTCTGTAGAATCATGAAGTAGCTCTCTTGCTGATGTTCTCACTGACAGGTGTGGTATGAACTTTCTAATAAAGGTTATCAGCCCCATCACTCTGCTTTCTATGTCTTTTCCATTGTAGTCTTTTAGTGGCACTCTTTTCTTGATTATTTTGGGCTTTTCCTTGATAGCAACATTTCTGTCATGTTGATCAGGTTTGCTTGTGCACCTGTGTCAATCCTTAGTGCTACAATAGCTCCATTTATTGGAAGTGACAAAATCCATGTGTCTTCGTTGTCTGAGTGCCTGTCATTTTCTTCTGTGTCATTGTGCTCAGTTTCTGCATTATCACATGACACCATGCTCACAAAGAAAGTCCCACTTAGATCAGTCTCTTCAACTAGCCGCATTGATTTGGGCTTGCCTTTAGATAGATATTGTTTTGCAAAATGATTTTTTCCATTACATTTTGAGCATCTTTTGCCATACACAGGGCACTGCCGGGGCTCATGTCTGCCACCACATTGTTTGCAGGAATATGTCACATCATCTTTGTTTTTCTTTTGTGGCGTTTCCCTTTTCATCTTGTTTTCATTTACTGCAGTGACACCAGTTTCGCTGGGGGCTCTAGTTTCCCGGCGCAGCGCAGGGTGGTGAAACCTGCGCAGAGCTAGTTTCGAGCAGCGCAACCCGAGGCGCACTTAGTTTGGTAGTTTGGCAGACCGATGTGCGCTGAGATGGGTGTGGCGGCGCAGCAGGGGGAGGTTTCGACAGATGCAGCTTGGCGCAGTGATAGTTTCGTGCCAAAAGGCTTTGCCGAAGGTGCGCTAAAAGCTCGGCAGCTGAAACCAGGTCTACTGTCAGCACAGGCGGAGCGCAGGCGGAGCGCAGCCGGTGTGAGCCGAAGTTTGGCTGACCGGCAGACAGTGCGCACACGTCACCAAAACCTCACAGGCAGGTTTCCAGAATGTCAGGCACATTAACGATGCAATAAATACCCAAAAAACCACTATTTAATGCAACTATCTGCAATCAGCACATAAATGTATCTCTATATCGACTGTCCCGTCACATCTGATGTTAGATCAAAGGGGATTGGCACTGTTTGGCACGTTTGGCACGCGTAATGGAAACCCAACCTGATTTGATTAACACAGCTGCAAAATAATGAGTTCACATCCCTCTCAGCCAACCACAAACAGCCACAGCCACAGCATCAGATAGGGAGTATATATTCAGCATCTGTCACCTTAGAAAAGTCAAAAGAAAAGAAACAGAGTGAGACTGTGAGAGAGAAAGAGAGAGTGCGCGCGCGCACGAGAGAAACGCAACATTGATTTACAATTGTGGTGATCTCGCACAGTGTGCCAAACTTGCAAAATCCGCCTGGCCACACCCAGTTGGCGAAGCGCAGGTGCACTGTGCCCCTGCTTCGCCTGGTCTGCGAAACTAGAGCCCTGAATGTCTTTGCATGCTGCTGGGCTTACTCACTAGCATGGCACAGTCTCTCTGCCTCCTCAAGATTTAGTTTAGCATGTCTTAGCAGCCGTTCCCTGGTCCACTTATCATGGATTCCATACACAATTTGATCACGGGTCATAGAATCTCTCAGATCTCCACAATCACATGACTGTGCTTTCAGTTTCAAATCAGTCACAAAGCTATCAAAAGTCTCTTCTGGCTGTTGCATCCGCGAGCGGAACACGTACGTGTTCTGCGGCGAGCAGTGTGCCTGGAACTTTTGGATAACTTTGTCATACTTTTGTCTGTCATCAGGGGCTGCAAACTCGAATGTATTGAGGACATCAATGGCTTGAGGATCCGCTACTGTGAGTAGCAACGCGATTTTCCTGGCATCGGATTCAATGTCCAGTCCAATGGCAGCTGTGTACAGTTCAAACTGTTGTTTGAAAGACTGCCAGTTGCTGTCCACATTTCCCACCAGTTTCTTGAGCAAAACCGTTTCTTGACCTGTCTGTCACTCCAGGTACCATGTGTTGTTCATTTAATTTGTCAATTTTTTAATTTTTGATTTTATATACAGTACAGGCCAAAACTTTGGACACACCTTCTCATTCAATGCGTTTTCTTTATTTTCATGACTATTTACATTGTAGATTCTCACTGAAGGCATCAAAACTATGAATGAACACATGTGGAGTTATGTACTTAACAAAAAAAGGTGAAATAACTGAAAACATGTTTTATATTCTAGTTTCTTCAAAATAGCCACCCTTTGCTCTGATTACTGCTTTGCACACTCTTGGCATTCTCTCCATGAGCTTCAAGAGGTAGTCACCTGAAATGGTTTCCACTTCACAGGTGTGCCTTATCAGGGTTAATTAGTGGAATTTCTTGCTTTATCAATGGGGTTGGGACCATCAGTTGTGTTGTGCAGAAGTCAGGTTAATACACAGCCGACAGCCCTATTGGACAACTGTTAAAATTCATATTATGGCAAGAACCAATCAGCTAACTAAAGAAAAACGAGTGGCCATCATTACTTTAAGAAATGAAGGTCAGTCAGTCCGGAAAATTGCAAAAACTTTAAATGTGTCCCCAAGTGGAGTCGCAAAAACCATCAAGCGCTACAACGAAACTGGCACACATGAGGACCGACCCAGGAAAGGAAGACCAAGAGTCACCTCTGCTTCTGAGGATAAGTTCATCCGAGTCACCAGCCTCAGAAATCGCAAGTTAACAGCAGCTCAGATCAGAGACCAGATGAATGCCACACAGAGTTCTAGCAGCAGACCCATCTCTAGAACAACTGTTAAGAGGAGACTGCGCCAATCAGGCCTTCATGGTCAAATAGCTGCTAGGAAACCACTGCTAAGGAGAGGCAACAAGCAGAAGAGATTTGTTTGGGCCAAGAAACACAAGGAATGGACATTAGACCAGTGGAAATCTGTGCTTTGGTCTGATGAGTCCAAATTTGAGATCTTTGGTTCCAACCGCCGTGTCTTTGTGAGACGCAGAAAAGGTGAACGGATGGATTCCACATGCCTGGTTCCCACTGTGAAGCATGGAGGAGGAGGTGTGATGGTGTGGGGGTGTTTTGCTGGTGACACTGTTGGGGATTTATTCAAAATTGAAGGCACACTGAACCAGCATGGCTACCACAGCATCCTGCAGCGACATGCCATCCCATCCGGTTTGCGTTTAGTTGGACGATCATTTATTTTTCAACAGGACAATGACCCCAAACACACCTCCAGGCTGTGTAAGGGCTATTTGACCAAGAAGGAGAGTGATGGAGTGCTGCGGCAGATGACCTGGCCTCCACAGTCACCGGACCTGAACCCAATCGAGATGGTTTGGGGTGAGCTGGACCGCAGAGTGAAGGCAAAGGGGCCAACAAGTGCTAAACACCTCTGGGAACTCCTTCAAGACTGTTGGAAAACCATTTCAGGTGACTACCTCTTGAAGCTCATGGAGAGAATGCCAAGAGTGTGCAAAGCAGTAATCAGAGCAAAGGGTGGCTATTTTGAAGAAACTAGAATATAAAACATGTTTTCAGTTATTTCAGCTTTTTTTGTTAAGTACATAACTCCACATGTGTTCATTCATAGTTTTGATGCCTTCAGTGAGAATCTACAATGTAAATAGTCATGAAAATAAAGAAAACGCATTGAATGAGAAGGTGTGTCCAAACTTTTGGCCTGAACTGTACTCCCCAAGGGGGAAATTCAATGTTTTCACTCCGTTTGTCATATACATACACACAGGCCCTAAATACGCACACACATGCACAAATAGGACCTTTTACATGCATTAAATGGAGAGATGTCAGAGTGAGGGGGCTGCCCATGGACAGGCACCCCGAGCTGTTGGGGGATTTGGTGCCTTGCTCAAGGGCACCTCGACAGTGCCCAAGAGGTGAACTGGCATCTCTCCAGCTACCAGTCCACGCTCCATATTTTGAACCGGTGACCTTCTGGTTCCCAAGCCAAGTCCCTATGGACTGAGCTACTGCCGCCTTCATCTTTAAAATGACAAGACTTCGTCTTGTGAACCCTGAGCTTGTGCTCGAACTTTATTTAATCATTCACATGTCTTCGTAACCTAAACAGGAAGTGCCCTCTTCCTCACCTGGTCTCCCTTTACTGACATGACTTTACTGACGTGATGTTAGTTTGCCAATGCATCACACAGTCTTGCGTGCAACTAAATATCCTCTGTACTAACCCAAACCTGTTTGCAACACATATTGCATAGACATAGACTCACTTACAAATTGGCTTTCAACAGAGCTACTCTCTGAGAGGAGACTCAAGGTTGTTGCTTCATCTCCTTGGTCTTTGTCCTAACTGGCCATACGGTCAGGCAAACCTCGTTTTCTGTCGTCAGCCATTTTGTTTTGTAGGCCAAACAGCCTTTGTTTCACACATATACCTTTTGCCCCTCGCACACACACACACCCACACCCACACACAAATATACACACCAATGCTTGTATATAGTTAGCTAGTTAGAATTTGTGTGTTTTGTTGCTTTGCTTTCGTCATGAATAAATACATTCGGAATCATACCTGCTGTCTGTTTAATATTGCACAAGAGTGAATGAATCGTCAACCACTGCTATGTCAAGAACTCGGAAATCCTTTAACCTCTCCTATTCATTTGCCGACTTTGGTTAAAGTTATTAATTTAACTAGTAATCAGAATTCCAAATTGATAGTTTAGTGTATTTTATGGGACTGATATTATTAACTGGCTATAATTTTTCCCTTTTCGGGAATGGAGCCCCACGGGGTGATTTAAAGGGAAATTTCGGTTTATTTCAACCCTTCTCCTATCGTCCTAAATTTGTTTCAAGTCACTAGTGACATAGAAATAATAGTTAGCATGTTAGCCATTAGCCAAGATACAGCCGTAGCGTCAGACCTGTTAAAACGTAATTGAACGGGCATCCTTTCAAGTGCAAAGTTAGTCCATTAAACAAGCTTTTCTCCATAAAAGACCGCCTCATATCGTTAGGATAAATGTCAGAGAACATATAGAAAACGACATGTAAACGTGTTGTCTTACCTTACTGGTGTGGTGCCATGTTTGTTGTTTACCATTTAGCTAAGGCTGCAACCGGTCCCATTCCTTGCAACAGAGGTATTCCTCTTCTGTGGGCATTGGGGTACAGCATTCACAGGTAATGTTACACCACCAATCTCCAGAGCTAAAGCCTTCCAGCAGCCATTCCTCCTCTGTCGTCCTCTAACGTTACCTGTTGTGCCTCTCTCTCTCTCCTCCTCCATTCTTCAATTTCACGAAGCTCTTTGTCAGTGTATTCTGGCTCAAATGAATAAGGGCGGCCATCGTCTCTCGATGTGGAAAGCCTATATACTAACATTTCACATTTAGGTGGTCTTCAGAGTTGTTGTCTTACCTTACGGTGTGTTTACCATTTACCTCTGCTTCTCAAAGCGCGGCCGAAATCTCGCGAGAACAAGTCGCAGCAACTGCAAGGCAGAACCGGACAGTAGCCTGAAAGGTTCATTCATTTATTTTATGAAAGATTTTTAGAATAATGGCTGACTTTTTGCCAGACTTCAACTTTGTGGAGGAGGAATTTGATTTTGCAGAGTTTGATGGCCGCCCTTATTTATTTGAGCCAGAATACACTGACGAAGAGCTTCCTGAAATTGAAGAACGGAGGAGGAGAGAGAGAGAGAGGCACAACAGGTAGAGGACGGCAGAGGAGGAATGGCTGCTGGAAGGCTTTAGCTCTGGAGATTTGTGGTGTAACGTTACCTGTGAATGCTGTACCCCAATGCCCACAGAAGAGGAATACCTCTGTTGCAAGGAATGGGACCGGTTGCAGCCTTAGATAAATGGTAAACAACAAACATGGCACCACACCGGTAAGGTAAGACAACACGTTTACATGTCGTTTTCTATATGTTCTCTGACATTTATCCTAACGATATGAGGTGGTCTTTGTAGAGAAAAAGCTTGTTTAGTGGACTAACTTTGCACTTGAAAGGATACCTATTCAATTACGTTTTAACAGGTTTGACGCTACGGCTGTATCTTGGCTAACCGCTAACATGCTAACTATTATTTCTATGTCACTAGTGACTTGAAACAAATTTAGGACGATAGGAGACGGGTTGAAATAAACCGAAATTTCCCTTTAATGTAAGTTAAGTCACATTATTTAAACAATTCGGATAGCCATTTTGACACTAAAATTGCCTGTTATGAGGTCAGGTCCCAACAAAACATTATCACTAACAAAAGTGAAAGTGAAAGCCAACCCCAGATTCACTATATTTTCGTTTTGCGTGCTGTACCGCAGCAATACCTAACACAAAGAAGAAAAATTAAGAAAATTAAGGCTGAAGGCAGAATCTCTGCAGATAAATACACCACCACACACTGACAGTGGATCATAGGTGATGATTGAGATGTATTACTCTTGTATGAGCCTATACATTGTTTTATAGTAAAATTCTGCAAGGTATTCCACTGAACCATCACTGGAGTCCCTTCAGTTTGATTACTAACCAAAGATTTTAGAGGAAGACGGCATCAACCTCCCTCTGCTGCCATTTTGTGGATGTAATGACAGTTTAAGCAAATAATGAGAAAAAGTTATTTTTATAAAAGTAATGTAAAGTAAATTTAGCTTCAAGCCTACAGCTGCATGCAAAAGTCTGGGCACCCCTGATCAAATTTCTGTTTACTGTGAATTGTTGAGCAAGTAGAGGATGAACTGATTTTCAAAAGGCATGAAGTTAAAGATGACACATTTCTTCAGTGTTTTAAGAAATTGAAGAAAGTTCAATTAATTTCAATCATTTACAATTTCAAATTAACAAAAAAGGAAAATGGCCTGAAGCAAAAGTTTGGGCACCCTGCATGGTCAGCACTTAGTAGCACCCCGTTTGGCAAGTATCATAACTTCTGAATGTTTTTTGTAAGTCTTTCAATTCTTGTTTGGGGGATTTTCACCAATTCTTCCTGCAAAAAACTCCTAGCTCTGTGAGATTCCAGGGCTGTCTTGCATGTACTGCTCTTTTAAAGTCTATACACAGATTTTTAATGATGTTTAGGTTGGGGGACTGTGAGGGCCATGGCAAAACCTTTAGCTTGCTCCTCATGAGTTAGTCCATTGTGGATGTCAAGGTGTGTTTAGGATAATTTCCTGCTGTAGAAGCCATCCTCTCTTCGTCTTCAGCTTTTTATAGATGGTGTGATGTTTGCTTTCAGAATTTGCGGGAATTTAACAGAATCCATTCTTCCCTCCGCCTGTGAAATGTTCCCCCTGCCTCTGGCTACAATACAAGCCCAAAGCATGATCAATCCACCACCATCTTTAATATTTGGACAGGTGGGAATTTGACTTGTTTTCAAAAAGCATCAGGCTTCTTTTCATGTTCCTTTGCAAACTTCTGAGGCTGGTTTTTGTTGTAAGAACACAGGAAAGGTTCTCCTCTGATGACTCTTCCATAAAGGTCATATTTGTGCAGGTGTCACTACATAGTAGAACAGTGCACCGCCACTCCAGAGTCTGATAAATCTTCTTATAGGTCTTTTGCAGTCAAACAGGGGTTTTAATTTGCCTTTCTAACAATCCTATGACCAGCTCTCTTTGCAAGTTTTCTTGGTCTTCCAGACCTCAACTTGACCGCCACTTTAGTTTTCAGAGTACTAGGTAGCTGTTTAGAGGAGCGCATGGCTGCTAACTGTTGGGACGAGGAGTCAGAATATTTCTAAAACATTGAAATTTGCATCACCTGGCCTTTCCTAACAGTGACTGTAAACAAGCCATAGCTCTAACAAGCTAATTAAGGTCTGAGACCCTGGTAAAAGTTGGCTGACAGTGCATATGTCTTGGGGTGGCCAAACTTTTGCACGGTGCTCCTTTCCTTTTTTTCAGTCTTAAATTGTACAACACAAAAATTGATACAGTAATCTTGGTTAAAATGTTGAAAAGCATGTTACATCTTTAACTTCATGCCTTTTGGAGATCAGTTCATCTTCTACTTACTTAACTATTCACAGTAAGAGGCTGTTTACACGTACACGGTGATTTTGATAAACGGAGACATCTTCCTTCGTTTGTGCCCTTCGTTTACACGCAAACGGAGATTTCTCCTCTGAAAACGAGTCTTTCTAAAAACTCCGGCCAGAGTGGAGATTTTGGAAAACTCCGGTTGCGCGTTTGCATGTAAACTGAGATAAACGGAGATAAACGGAGTTATAGGCAGCCGACGTCACAGTATGCACCGGAACTTGCGCCTGTGTCAAAAGTGCGACCTATGTTGCTATGGTGACAATGGATACATGGAAGGCTTGAGCTTCTTGTTACACTGCCACCTATAGGTTTGGCATGCTCTTGTGTCTATATACACGGGTAAGTGTAAACGAAGATCTTTTTGAAAACGGAGACGGTGAAATGTCCGTTTATGAAAATATCCAGCAACGTGTAAACGGCCTCTAAATGAAATATTTACCGGGGGTGCCCAAACATTTGCAAGTCACTGCACATTCTTTCTTATGGCCAGCAGAGTGCTATTTCCCTGGTTGAAAACAGGTTGCAATAAGAAGGCTGACTGTATTCAAGTCCGTGAGAAAATGACCCCTCTTTTCACTTGATTTCAGGCATGTGCACAGATAGACCCCAAGTGGTGCTAAAACCCTGCCCTTTTGGCCCCTGAATGGATAAGTGCTCTTTAAGCAAGACTGTTTTTTCCTTTCTTTTAATTTAAATTTGGCCCATGGTATCAATTCAAAATTAAAAGTGTGTCTTTCTTTGTTACAGTCAGTTAACGCACACAAAGTGAGCGCCCTGATCTGGCTTCATGGACAGCCAGGTAACGGTAAGCCTCAGCATTCTTTGTCACTGTTGTGAAATTGAACCACTATTAAAACACCACAATACAGCCAGCCTAACCTAGTCAATAACTCACCATTAAGCCTAACAAAGTGAGCTAGTCTGGTGTAAAATCACACTAGTTCACCAGCTGCCCTGGCACGAGCGGAGACAGACACCAAATCGTTTTGCCACTTCCGTGTGCCTTTATAAACAAAAAGCCAACCTGAAATAATGTTTATTTCTCCCACACTGTATCTCTGATTCATTTAAACAAATCTGACATGCTGTTTGTTGCTGCATGAACATGCCGCGCACAAAAAGCACAGAGATTTTCTTACAATATTTAAAGCTCTTTTCAAGGATAATAACTAGCATGTGACTAAAAAAGAAAAAGGAAGAGATGACAAAAGAAGAGGTGTAGAACAAATCAAGAATAGGAGAGCAAAGGAAGGGAGTGGAGAAAAAAGTGAGGAGAGGAGAGCAGAATGCACTTATCCTGACTGTTGTAACTGGACGTATGCCTGCTTTGTAGTTTGGAGGGTAGACAGTGCCACAGTTTGCCATTGTTACTTTGCTGTTGGCTGTTACAAATACAATATGAATGTACAAAGTGTGTATATGTAGCAACTTGTAAGTGCATATAGTATAGATATTGAGACAACTTATATTTAAGATAGACATTTTCCTTGCTTATTATTGTGCTCAAATGTACTGTGTGTACTTAGACTTCAAGAAATCGTCTGGTGCCAGCAGACAAATACTCCGGAGTAGGGTTGTGCCACCCATCGGCGATAGAAGGGTTGTTTCACGATGTCTTTTTTAAATGCCGATGCAATTGCGAGGTGTGGGGGGGGGGACAGCGCATGTGTGGCGCATGCTGAGGAGATCGAGGCTGAACGAGGCTTTTATAAAGCTTCTTCAACTCGACACCAGTGCCATCTTCTCTTCTTGTCTAATCTCCTTGCCACAGTGACGCGTAATGACCGCGACCCTTCTGTCGCGCCCCCCGGCGATGACATCATTCATCTGCGATTTTACTAGATGGCAATAGGACGATAGGATATGGACAAGATCGCCCAACTCTACTCCGGAGCAAGCACATAAAAAAAAGTGATAGGAGTGATTTTGTAAACTGTGGCCTCATTTCAGAGTAAAAGAGATGATGAAGCAGGTTATGCTTTAAAGTGTTGCCACCTTATGATTGACAAGTTGTTACCGCGGTGGTGACTTCAGGTTCTCAGTCAAATCCAGCCCTCTTCCACAGCTCTACCCTCTCTTCTAAATATGGTCAAGAAAACCAGGACTAAAGAGCAAAGTGCCAAACTCAAGGCTGCAAAATCATAGTCACAAACCAGTTGCTACGTCGACTTCTTTTATACAGTCTGTGTGTCTGTCCTGCAGATGGTGAGCCTGCTGATGATCGGCATCGCAGCATGGGGGAAGTGGTTCGGTCTGGTCTCCAGTTTCCAGGTGGTGGGAGGTATCATTGGTGTTGGCGTCTTCCTCTTCTTTGTGGCCCTGGCTGGCCTCATTGGGGCCATGAAGCATCACCAGGTCCTGCTCTTCTTTGTATCCTTCACACTGGTCATGCTATGGCTGTTATCGGGGTTTGAAAGCCTCACTTGAGAAATTAAGGGGGAACTCTGAAATACTGTCACTGTTCTGTATAAATTTATTTTCTTTTATATGTGTTTCAAATGTGGTGTTTCAGTCCTGTATTTTTAGGGTGTTGATGCAGTTTGATGCATATCTTTTTTTTCTTCTTTTTTTTATTGTGTAATGCAGTGATTACAAGAAAAGACAAGTGCAGGACATAGAAGCAGACAGAAGAAATTTTACAAAATTAGACAGATACATACAATAAAAATTAAGACAAAGTAAAATATTGAGGACACAGAAGAAAAACAAAAAGACAAAAACAAAGAAAACAAAACAAACAAAAAAGAAAACCAAAAAAAGCATTGTTCAAACTGGTGGGAATGCGGAAAATAAGGTGGAGATGGATCAGCAGACCGGTGTGTGTGTCTGTGTGTGTGTATGTGTGTGTGTGTGTGTGTGTGTGTGTGTGTGTGTGCATAGGTGCGTGCGTGCGTGCCTATGCGCGTGTGCATGTAAGTCTGTGTGTGTGAGAGTGTTCATGTATCAAAGGGAAAGAGTCAGAGAGCATTTGCAGGGGGATGGAGTGTTTAGAATAGTCAGGGGGTTATGTCATTGTCACGGCATAACTGTCCATCTATGTAAAGTCTTTCCACAGTGATGACTGCCTTATTTCCTTGTTGCACCTTTTTTTCTTCGAATGGGGTGAAGTTGTCTGCGGTGTTGCATTATTTCTCTGGGGTATTGATTATTAAGTCCATAGTCCGTTCTTTCAGCAGCCTGCCCTGACGTTGTACCAGTTGGTTTTGTTTGTAATGTTCAAATTTGGCGATGATCAGACGGGTACAGTTGTTGGTGGTGTTTTTCTGACCCATAAGATGAACTCAGTGGAAGGTGATGTTGTTAACGGTTTTAGTGGGCAGTTTGAGTTGTTGGATCGTGAAGTCCTTAACTGTTTTTTTTCAGGCCGGTGAAAACTAGATTGTCCCTCATGCTGCGTGTTTGTAAGTCCAGGATTGTCTCTTTCATGGCTTTGTGTTCAGCAGTGACAGAAGTGAACTGGGTGGTGAGTTTGTTGACAGTGTGTTGTAGGGGTTTGTTTTCCTGCGTGAGTGTGTCGATCTGGTCCTGAGTGTATTCAAGGCTTTGGCGGAGTGCTTGAAATTCACGGTGTAGTACTTCTATGAGTGCGATTCTGTTGAGTCCGGAGAGTTTTTGTTCAATGGATATGAGTATGTCGCCTACCTCTGTACAGCATGGCAGTTTCAGGGGTGTGGATGGTGTACCTGAGCTGGACAGTGAGGCTGGTCGAAGTCTTTTATTGCTTGATGCAGTCGCAAGTGTGCAAGGTTCGTGCACCACAAATGACGTAAAGCTTCAATTATACCTTGTGGCGATCCTGTATATTTTATGAATATATTTTTTTATAAGACGGTGGTTATCAGCTGATGGCTTGCTCACCTCCAGACACACCCACCAGTGCTATTGGCCAGTGGGATGGCTCCGATCAGCTGAGCCCAGGTAGACCAGCCCCTACATTATGCCGTTCCTGGCAGTATCGTGAGAGACGCCGGCGAGTGAGTAATGAGCCAGAAGTCCTCTGCGCATTCGGCCTACCACGGCACTTTACACCGCTCCAAGTCCGCGAAATAGGTGCGCTTCCTTGTGGACTATCATCCATCCAGCCACCAGCCTCACCTCAGATTCCCTGCCACGGATATCAAGGGATCCTACGGAGCCTCCACGCCCGAAACAATGCCGGAGCGTTACGGCATTCACTCATGGTCCCATGAGTTGGCAAAAGCCGGGGGGTTACTTTTCGTTTCATTATTTGGTACCTTCGGACCGGGTTGATTTGTTTTGAAACTGAACTGAGTCAGAGCGAACAATGGATTTTCTTTACTTCCTTGTTAGCAGGAAAACCTGGGGTGGAGTTTTCTTTTGTTTAGCGAACGGTATGGATTGAACTGAATTAAACTGTGATATGTTATTTGGAAATCCCAGAGTGGAGTTTTTTGTTTAAACTGGATTGAACTGACTGAACGGAACAGAACATTTCTTTTCTTTGGTGAAAAAAATATATACTTTATTGAAACTGATTACTGTTGTATTTTGAAAATTGGGTATAATTCTTTTGTTTTACAGAAACCAGGTAAAATCAATTTAATTTTGGTGTTAAGGGACCTGTTTTATGGGTTTTATGGTTCCTTTGTGGGGTTTGACTGAGTAAAAGAAAAATATTTGTTTCATGTGTCAAACCTCTACAACCTTCGCCTGGCTCCGTTCGCGGATTGCGCACGCACCTCATAATGATGGTGGCACGAAAAGTATGGATTGCAGAAGAGAAGGAATTGTTATGTTTATGGCTTTTGACCACAGCCAGCTTGTGAAGCCAATGCGGGCTGTAGATGAAGAGTTGTACAAATGCTAGTCTTCCCTCAAATTCATCGATTTTGAACTGAGCGACACTAGCGTGGCCTCAAAAAGTTTCAAAATCCTGGAGGTGTGCAACCGTTAGTTCCTCATTAGTACCTCAGTAACTACTCCTCTGAAATTTGATCAGGGGTTACTGAAGAACTGACCATTAACTAATAGTAAGTACATCATTAGTTCCTCATTAGTTCCTCAGTAACTACTCTTTAGTTCCTCATTAGTTCCTCATTAGTTCCTCAGTAACTACTCTAATTTTGTGTAGCTTCGTTCCTCATTACCTACTCATTCGTTCCTCATTAGTTCCTCATTCCTTCCTCATTAGTTCCTCAGTAACTACTCTAATTTTGTGTACTTTAGTTCCTCAGTAACTACTCATTCGTTCCTCATTAGTTCCTCAGTAACTACTCTAATTTTGTGTACTTTAGTTCCTCAGTAACTACTCTAATTTTGTGTAGCTTAGTTCCTCAGTAACTACTCATTCGTTCCTCTTTAGTTCCTCATTAGTTCCTCAGTAACTACTCTAATTTTCTGTATCTTATTATAAAGCGTTACCAAAGATTCTGCATACGATATTACTAGTACAACAAAACAAAATCTACCACAAATTACATATTTACACAGTTCCCAAATACAAAAAATGTATCCTGGGATCTATATGTGATCTCCAATGTTATAATGTCCGAAAATAAACGGTGCACATTTAACACTTGATCTGCTTGCGAAACTGATTAGATAAATCTGACATACTGGACACTATAGAAAGTAACTCTGGGGTTAATGATGTCATATAACATTTACATCGTGCTGCTCCAGCTGGGTCTCCAGTGTGATTGTATCCCTTTCACCAGCTATATAATCAAGCCTTGAACTATGCAGTCTTTTTGGAGACTAAAATAAATCCAAAATGATAAATCCAACACTGAATGTCTTCTGTGATTATTTATCAGTTTTCTGATTAAAAATCAGTTGAAAATGTTTAACTTTGGGTAAAATGTTGCACTTGTCACTATCACCAGCAGTCGGATCACAGTGGAGAGGGGGCGGGACAAACACAGCAAAGACCAACCGTCACAGAGGACAAATAGAAGTGCTGAACAACAACAACTCTCATTTTTAGCCAGGTAAAGAAATCTTTGATGGACACACAGCCTTATTAAAGTAACACCAGCAACTGACCAACCAATAAGAATTTGGTCAGACAAGAACATAATGACCAAACAATCAACCAACCAACTGGAACTTTACACCCCTAGACAAATCTGCCACATTGGAATCCTTTCATTGACAGTCTGGGCTGTTCTAACTGAAAATCAATGACCCTGAAGAATGCCAAGGAAATGTGGTCTTCAGTACTCTGAATTGAATATAAGGCCATCAGAAAAACATTTACTCAACTTAGCATAGTAGGATGAATAATATATTATCACAGTGACTCAAAGTTCCAAAGTTCAAGGTATTTTTAAAATATCTTGGCTTTTGAGACAACATTTGGGACTCGAGCTCCAGAATTCTGTGTGTAAATTAAACATGTTGCAGCAGTTTTTGCACACAGCCTTTAGACAGTTGTGCCACTTGACAGATTTAGGCTTCGATTTTTGTTTGCTGATTTAGGGCGGTAAGGTGGTGCAGTGGTTAGCATTGTTGCCTCATAGTAACAGGGTTCTGGGTTTGGATCCATCGGCCAGCCGGGGCTCTTCTGTGCGGACTTTGCATGTTCTCCCTGTGTCAGCGTGGGTTTTCTCCAGGTGCTCCGGCTTTCTACCACAATCCAAAGACATGCAGGTTAATTGGTGACTCTAAATTGCCTATAGGTGTGAATGGTTGTCTGTCTCTATGTGTCAGCACTGTGATAGTCTGCCTCTCCAGGGTGTACCCCGCCTCTCACCCCAGGCTCCAGCACACCCACCACCCTGTAACAGGACAAGCGGTGTCAGAAAAGTGAATGAATGTTTGTTTGCTGATTTATGTTGTAAAAAATGTATAAAATATTTGAACTCAAAAAATCTGACAATGACTTAATTTCAGCATCATAAATACTTTAGATTATATACATGAATACCATGGATATATTATAAAGATCTGAAAACTGTCTTGATAATGAATTTGCATGTCAGGTTTATGACTTACGATGTGTTTTAATCTACCTATGCTTCTCTTCACCTCAGTGTTTGGGAAATGTATTCCCACTCATTTATGCATGTGCAATAAGACCCAGAGCAGCATCGTATTTCACACTGTGGTCGGTCATGCAGAGACAGTGCATGCAGCTCAATATCAGCCTTACAAACTATTCTACTGATGTAAAGAGTCAACTTTCAATGCCATGGTTTAGTAACACTGGCTGTTTTATTTGTACTATGGATGATGTGTCTGTTTTTGCTCCTTGACAGTGAAGCTCAGTACATGATCATCCTGTTCATGGTGTTTATTGTGCAGTTCTCTGTCTCCGCTGCCTGTTTGGCCATCAACAGAGAGCAACAGGTAACATACAAAACTTCACTTTCTTCATTAAAGCAGCTTTTAGGAGGAAAATCCATCTTACCTTCCTGTTGTTTGATTGTGTGTTTATGTATGTACAATGATAACTGGCCAACTTGGAACAACTGTTTTGTACTGGACATACCAATGTCTACACCAACAGTAGCTTACACAGTGTAATGCAGTTGTGTAAGTGTGTTTATACTGAACACAAAGGGAATTTTCACCTCACATTATTGGGCCACGCAAATTTGGTCACTTAATTGTTTTTGTAGTCAATGTTTATTGGCCTCAAACAGCATGTACCAACTGTGCAAACATTAACTAGCAGCTAACTAGCTAGCAATACTCATTAACCACGTGTTTGTGTGTGTTCACAGCACAGCCTCTAAGTGATCTTAAAACTGCTCTCCTTTTTATGCCTCCCTGACAGCAATAGCGGTGGCCGTAGGCATTATATTTTCAGGTTGTACATCTGTACGTCTGTTTGTATGTCCATCCGTTCATACGCCCGTCCCATTCTTGAGAACACGATAGCTTAAGAACACCTTGGGGGAATTTCTTTAAATTTGGCACAAACATTCATTTGGATTCAAGGATGAACTGATGAGATTTTGATGGTCAAAGGTCACTGTAAGCTTGTCTGTCTCATTTTTGTGAACGTTATATATCTCAAGAACACATTGAAGGAATTTCTTCAAATTTGGCGAAAACCTTCACTTGTACTCAACAACTGATTAGCATTTGGTGGTCAAAGGTCAAGGTCACTGTGACCTTACGTCCGTCTCATTTTGTGAATGCGATATCTCAAGAACATCTTGAGGGATTTAAGTCAAATTTGGCACAAACGTCCACTTGTACTCAAGAATGAACTGATTACAATTTGGTGGTTGATCATCAAAGGTCAAGGTCAATGTGACCTTATTGTAACATGTTTTTGGCCATACATAAAAAATTTATACACTAATTATGACAACATTTCATACAAATGTCTGACAGGATAATATGATGAAGTGATGACATTTTGAATCCGAAAGGTTAAAGGTCAACTTCACTGTGACATCATAATGGTTTGTAAAAACACTTTTCTTGCCATTAGTAAATGTTATATCTCAGGAACAGAAGAGGAGTCATTTGGTCAAATACTTAATTGGTGACTCTAATGTTGAAACTGTGTTGATTGCGTAGATTTTCTGTGTATTAAGCATCCATGTTTTCATAGACATGGATATAAACTGTGAGTGAAAGTTGAGTGGTTCGCAGAGGCATGCAAACATGATGCAGTAATTCTAGTTTATCTATTTGTGAGCTGGAGTCATAAAGCCTCAGGATAGTTGCAAACATGGTCAATGGGTGGCTGTGGCTGTGTTGGGCTGCTGTGTCTCAGAAGTAGAGCGGGTTGTCCACCAATTGGAAGATCCGCAGTTCGATCCCCAGCTCCTCCAGTCTGCATGTCGAAGTATCCTTGAGCAAGATACTGAACCCCAAATTGCTCCCGATGATGCTTCCATCGGTGTGTGAGTGTGTTAAAAACTGAGTAGCAAGTGGCACCTTTTATGGTAGCCTCAGCTAACAGTGTATGAATGTGTGTGTGAATGGGTGAATGTGACTCGTAGTGTAAAAAGTGCTTTGAGCGGTCGGATGTATAGTGCAAGCACATATTTACATAGCACAACTTCCTTACCTAAAATTAGGGCAAATCCATCCCTCATTCCTTGACTTTATATGCACCACCATACCACCTCTAAAAATTGCTTTATGTTCAGTATTTACACACATTTGCTGTGAATCTTGTTTGTCACTGTTAGGGGCCACCATTAAGTGCCTTGAGACACAAGGTTGGGCACTGTGTGCAACTGTTGTGCCTATTCTGTGCCGACTTTCAAGAGGACAGAGGCAGGTTGCGTCTGAAGTTACTAAGCAACGATAACAACCACCAGCCTACATGAAATCCTAAGTGCAGAGCTGATCTTCTTCCAGGGACTGTTTTTAAAGTGTGTAAGCCTAAAATATTGTCCATGGGAAAGATGTAAAGCTGTGGGTAGCCCAGGACTAAAACGATCATCTTCTCCTCCATATTTATCACACTGACTGATTTACTGAAGAAGGAAACGACATATGTCATTTGTGATTGTCATATGTCATTTGTGCTATGATTATAGCACAGAAGAAGGAAAAGACATATGTCATTTGTGATTGTCATATGTCATTTGTGCTATGATTATAGCTCGACTAGGCCAATTAATTGGACTACTGTACTTGTCCCAGTATACAAACACGGGAGAGAGATAGATTTATTGACCCAAGTATGTCCAACTCTGCTATGATAGGTCGCAGTATACCTCCTGTGAGCTTGTTAGTATTGGCCCTTTTTCTGGTTGACCCATTGTCACATGACATGCAGTGTGTGCTGCTGCATTCCAAAAGTTGAACTCACTTTTATCTCAAGATGCAAAAAAAAAAAAAAAGCTTGAGAACGTGTGCAAAGCTCTGGCGTCTCTCTGGCATTTCAGCATGCCTGCTATGCATCTACATTAAAAACAATGGATTAGAGGGTGCAAACAATGCAGCATGTGTACAACCCTAGGCAACCTAGAAAGTGGCTTTTTTTGCACTGCTGGACAGTCAAGCATTGCATGCTATCCCACAACGCTTTGTGAGGTAATTGGCTTGTGTCCCATAGAAAATGTATAGGGGTGTACTTTGGGATATACCCGACTCAAAATTATGTCAGTTAAATTTAGATTCGGTGGTGTCATATGAATATTTGACTTTTTTTTTGTTTTTTTCATATAACATTTTTAGTTTGAATGGGGTTTAGCGGGACATTCAGTGTGACAGCGGCACTCATGTAATTTAGTAAACAAGATAACAGAGCTAACGACGGATTGGAAATGTGCAACAACATTTTTTGCCAACACTAGATATCAAAGAAAAGCCAGAGACAGTATCATATTAAGTATCTGTAAGCTGTAAAGTTCTAAGCAGAAGAGAGAACATAACGTTATCTTGGAGCCTCAGGGTGGAAAGTTTCTCCTTGTCTGTGCCCATCTGCATCATGTCTCCAGCTGTACCAAAGAGCAACGTGAATGTCATGAGCACTCACTCTGCAGCAAAATCTGGGGACCGAAATGTCCCCAAAAGTACACTGCACAGCTCACTGAGTAGCAAAAAAAATGCTTATCTCCCTCCTCAAAGACAGCCTGAGGGCTGTATCCACAAAGCAAGTTTGAAAGATCCAGGCTTCCATGCCCTAGCTGGCTTGACCAACCCTAAAGCACAAGTTATAGGTAATGGGCACCATTGCAATGAATATTAGCTTTCCTTGTTAAAGGTTTCTTCATCAGGCTCTCTGTGTGTTCCCATTCAGTGACACACAATAAATTGATTGCATGCAGCCTACTTCCCCCTATGAAGAATTTTAAAAAAGCAAAAAGCAGCACTGTTGCTACAAATAAAGCAAGAGAGGAGTGCTGGCAGAAGTCTACTAAATGTGTAAATTTGTAATTTAATATATTTATTTTACTTATACTCAGGGCCTGTATTTATCATTGATCCAGTCCAGACATGTTGTAGGACATACAAGATTCTCCTTTGATTTATAATTTGTGTCTGACTTGTGTTTTACAGAAAAAAGTTAAATTGATAATCACATCTACTCCTTGTCCCTTGTTGAAAAATTGACAACCTATTATTGTGCACTTATTGTTCAAGTTTCTCCATCACTCTTGTATCAGCTGCATACTGGACTGTGATTGGCTTCAAAATGACTTTTGATGTCATAAATCCTGCAGCTACGTTCAGTTGTGAGAAATGTAACCTTTTCAACAGATGAATGTGAACACAGCCTTCTAGTGTGAAACTCTGCTCAGACATTATTCTGCACAGTCAAGCTCAAAGTGGAAGAACAGTTCTCTCCCTGAGGAGATTAGGCTTGCGAGCACAATAACTATTTTTCAAATCATTGCTTAAAACATAATTTTATAGGAAAGCTTTTTATTTTAATGCCTGATCTGTAACTTTTGTGTTTTAAATCCTTTTGTTTCATTTTTGCCTGTGTACACATTATCTCTCAGCCTTAAACATTGTTCTTATGATTGTAATCTTATTGTTGTCTTAATTTTATGCACTTTGTAAAGCACTTTGTAACCATGTGTTATACAAATTAACACTTTATTATTATCATTATTATTATTAGTAGTAATAATAACAATAATAATAATAATAGTAAGCAACTACTACTCATGCTGAAAGTTAAAGTAGTACTATATACAGTACAGGCCAAAAGTTTGGACACACCTTCTCATTCAATGCGTTTTCTTTATTTTCATGACTATTTACATTGTAGATTCTCACTGAAGGCATCAAAACTATGAATGAACACATGTGGAGTTATGTACTTAACAAAAAAAGGTGAAATAACTGAAAACATGTTTTATATTCTAGTTTCTTCAAAATAGCCACCCTTTGCTCTGATTACTGCTTTGCACACTCTTGGCATTCTCTCCATGAGCTTCAAGAGGTAGTCACCTGAAATGGTTTTCCAACAGTCTTGAAGGAGTTCCCAGAGGTGTTTAGCACTTGTTGGCCCCTTTGCCTTCACTCTGCGGTCCAGCTCACCCCAAACCATCTCGATTGGGTTCAGGTCCGGTGACTGTGGAGGCCAGGTCATCTGCCGCAGCACTCCATCACTCTCCTTCTTGGTCAAATAGCCCTTACACAGCCTGGAGGTGTGTTTGGGGTCATTGTCCTGTTGAAAAATAAATGATCGTCCAACTAAACGCAAACCGGATGGGATGGCATGTCGCTGCAGGATGCTGTGGTAGCTATGCTGGTTCAGTGTGCCTTCAATTTTGAATAAATCCCCAACAGTGTCACCAGCAAAACACCCGCACACCATCACACCTCCTCCTCCATGCTTCACAGTGGGAACCAGGCATGTGGAATCCATCCGTTCACCTTTTCTGCGTCTCACAAAGACACGGCGGTTGGAACCAAAGATCTCAAATTTGGACTCATCAGACCAAAGCACAGATTTCCACTGGTCTAATGTCCATTCCTTGTGTTTCTTGGCCCAAACAAATCTCTTCTGCTTGTTGCCTCTCCTTAGCAGTGGTTTCCTAGCAGCTATTTGACCATGAAGGCCTGATTGGCGCAGTCTCCTCTTAACAGTTGTTCTAGAGATGGGTCTGCTGCTAGAACTCTGTGTGGCATTCATCTGGTCTCTGATCTGAGCTGCTGTTAACTTGTGATTTCTGAGGCTGGTGACTCGGATGAACTTATCCTCAGAAGCAGAGGTGACTCTTGGTCTTCCTTTCCTGGGTCAGTCCTCATGTGTGCCAGTTTTGTTGTAGCGCTTGATAGTTTTTGCGACTCCACTTGGGGACACATTTAAAGTTTTTGCAATTTTCCGGACTGACTGACCTTCATTTCTTAAAGTAATGATGGCCACTCGTTTTTCTTTAGTTAGCTGATTGGTTCTTGCCATAATATGAATTTTAACAGTTGTCCAATAGGGCTGTCGGCTGTGTATTAACCTGACTTCTGCACAACACAACTGATGGTCCCAACCCCATTGATAAAGCAAGAAATTCCACTAATTAACCCTGAAGTGGAACACCTGTGAAGTGGAAACCATTTCAGGTGACTACCTCTTGAAGCTCATGGAGAGAATGCCAAGAGTGTGCAAAGCAGTAATCAGAGCAAAGGGTGGCTATTTTGAAGAAACTAGAATATAAAACATGTTTTCAGTTATTTCACCTTTTTTTGTTAAGTACATAACTCCACATGTGTTCATTCATAGTTTTGATGCCTTCAGTGAGAATCTACAATGTAAATAGTCATGAAAATAAAAAAAACGCATTGAATGAGAAGGTGTGTCCAAACTTTTGGCCTGTACTGTATATATATTTTCCAACGGAGCTATTCACATGAAATTTACACCAAGCACTGATATTAACACAGCAAAATTATACAGATAAAGAAATTGTAACATTTTAATCCATATAAAAGTTATTAACAATAAAGTAGAATAACACAGTAAAATAGTATTGAACGTGCCAACTGAAACGTATTTAAGAATTGGTGGAGAGGCGTTTGTTTGCAATGGTAGCTTTTAAGATGCTTCCTGTATAAAGAAATGAATCTGTCACAGGGTTTAGATGACATTTAGGTCCATTCATCCACACAGAATCTAGAAGATTAAGAGGGACCAGCTGGTGAATCTTGATCTTTAGCTGCTTCCAAAAATGTTATATTAGGTTTCAGTCTGGTGACTTGACTGGGCCATTCCAACATCTTTATTTTCTTCCTCTGGAACCACCGGAGATACTCCTTTGCAGTATGTTTTGGATCTTTGTCCTGCTGAAAGGTCCTGCTGTGTCTCATCCTCACTGTCGTGGTGGATGGCAACAGATTCTTCTTAAGAAACTCTTGGTACACGACTCCAGTCATCTTGGCTGTGATAATTTGGATTCTACTGGTACCATGATGAGAGAAACAGCCCCATACCATGATTCCCCCAACCTCCAAACTACACTGTGGGTGTGGGATTTTTAAGGTCATATGCAGAGCCATTTCTCACAGTGTTAATGAAAAAAATGCTGATACATTGAATACATATTTCCAGAACCCTCTTAAAGCAATAGCGCTAACCAGTGCACTACCATACTGCCCCTAAATACTGTATACATATTGTGTTAATTGTACTTATGTTGATGCACCCATGCACTTTAAAGCATATTAGCATATACAAGATACAAGCAGTGCTGCTACTACTGCTGCTACTACTACTACTGCTGTAACTGATTAAGTGATTTACACACAAGCCCCAGAGTAAATATGAAAATGCTGTTAAATGAAGAGTAAAGCTTCATGTTTTTTTTCCTGTGTCTGCTGCTGCAGGATCACCTGCTGGAGGTGGGCTGGAATAACTCTCAGAGCACTCAGAGGGATGTGGAGAAGAGCCTCAACTGCTGTGGCTTCAAACAGGTGGATCCAAACATCAGCTGTGACGCTGTGAGTTTGGATGAATTAAATGTTTCCTGACCCCTGTTACATTTCAGCATGTTAAAACAGACTGATGGTTTGTTAGGATTGAATCATTTGAACGGTAGCAGTAAAGTTCAATGAGAAACCATGAAAGCCTCTAACCCTGCTGTCTGAAGCATTTTGCATTTGTCTGAAGCAAGCATTGTGTCTCGTGTTGTTCTGCAGGCTTGTTTCCCCAACCACTCCTGTTTGCCCTGTGCAAATAAGATCCAGGAACATGCTGGAGAGGTTCTTCGTTTTGTAGGAGGAATTGGACTCTTTTTCAGCTTCACTGAAGTGAGCCATTAGAACTACAACACTGCATCTTTGCAAGATGCTGTAACCGTTTAGCTATAAAATCGATATAACTATTAGCAATAGTAGTATTTGTAGTAATGTTAGTAATAGTTGCAGCTGTAACTACAGTAATAATAGTAACAACAATAGTAACAGTAGCAGCAGTAACAGCAGATTGAGTTTTTTGGGGGCAGGAGTTTTTCCATATCCTGTGTGAGGGTTCAAGGACAGATGCATGTTGTATGTTGTAAAGCCCTCTGAGGTAAATTGTGACTGTGATATTGGGGTGCATAAATGTAATTGAAAATTGATGGTGGTAGCAGGGGTCGCGTTAACCGGATATTCTCTGTCATTGACCGGTTTTTTACAACAATGACCAGAAAATCTGAAGGCCGTCGGTCATTTTGACCGGTGTGAATTACCACCCCTGCCCACATGGCGGTGGAGTGCACAGCCAGTGGCTACCGTTTTCACACTGCACTGAAAAAGTCTCTCATCTGCTTCATGTAGCGTGGTTGAGCCTTGGACACACCACACGCGTAGTGCCGCGGAAGTTGACTGTCCACACAGGCAGCGCATTTCTCCTGCGCTCTCCGCGTCGGTTAAACATCGACTCCACTCATCTGTTCCCGTCAGTACTCGTTTTTTCACTTCAACAGGTCATTTTAAACATGGGTAAGTCCATATTTTAATCGTTTTTTTATAACGTAATAAGTTAATTACAGTTTGTCATTGCATATCCATGTATTGCGCGTGTTGGATAAACACTGGGCATATTGTTATTGACCATTTTATTTATGTAGTTATGTCTATAGGCTCGGTGACACAAAATTAAAATTGTAATGAAGTGATTAGGGTAGCTATTGAAAAATGTGTTAGGTTATGCACTGTTGTGTTATTTTAAATTATAAACACAGTATTTTACTGCTCGCGTGAAAAATAGACCAGACACCGAACTGAAACGCTGCCTCAGCGGCCTGTGTGGACAGTCAGATAGGTTAACATGGGCGCCGATTGAAAACTGCCTCCGCTGCTGGGCGCTGCGCTTCGGTTCCGCGTCCGGCGTGTCCAGAATGGCACGGGTGTGTGGATGTCTGTTCATCATTTCGTTCATGTCCTTATTAATGCACACTTTATAACTTGCTTGTTGGATTTATTAAACTAACGGATGAAAACTAAATATCTTTGAATATCTTAAAGGAAAATTAAAATGACCGGTAAAAATAGATTATGACCGGATTTTTATGACCCTGTCGCTCAAAATGACGAAAAAGTCTAGCGCGACATCTGGGTGGTAGGTACAGTGCAGTACTGAGCCTTGCTGCAGGCTGAGCTGACAGAGCTGTGTGCTGCTACCTACAGGCTGTCTCCACATTCAAACATACACACTTTTTATTCACAGCCATCTCTACAGTAGTGGACTGACCAGTAATGTAATGTACAGTAATGAAGACTGACCTACTTTGACCTGATCTGTCAAGAGACTGTGGGTATCAAAAGTGAAAGGAAAAGGGTGGTGCTGAGAAACTGTGGCAGAAAAACTAACTGCAGCAGGATGACATAACAGATGTATACTGCAGCTGGGCAGTGCAACTGCAAATGTTCAGTAGTCAATTTTCAATTCAATCAATTTTATGTATAAAGCCCAATATTACAAATCACAATTTGCCTCACAGGGCTTTACAGCATACAACATCCCTCTGTCCTTAGGACCCTCGCAGCAGATAAGGAAAACTCCCTTTAACAGGTGAAAAAACGGTAGAAACCTCAGGGAGAGCAACTGAGGAGGGATCCCTTTTCCAGGACGACAGACGTGCAATAGATGACGTACAGAACAGATCAACATAATACATTAACGGTAATCTGTATGACACAATGAGACAGAAGGGGAGACAGAGACAGAGAGAGATGCAGGACAGACGATAATGTTAATAGCTTACAACAATATAATGGTCAAAATGCTTAATTTATCCACATTGTAATGATTATATTTTAAATAGGGTAGACTTTCTAAATGTTTCCATGTCATCATTAGCTGGCCATAGATGTGTATCAGATTCCTTGATTTGATTAAATTAAGTTAAAATGGCTATGACAAAATTATCCAGTAAACATAATGAGATTTTTGCAAAGGATCAAATGGTTTAGAGAGTGCTGAGCCATGGCACATGAAGGCATAGTTGGTCATTGTGACACTCATCAGTAAATAAAATGGCCTTCCCGTATTATTAAACCCCAAGGCTAACAGTCTGTACATTTACATGCACAGATAAGTGGAGCTGTGATTATAGCTAGGCCAATTAATTGGACTACTGTACTTGTCCCAGTATACAAACACGGGAGAGAGATAGATTTATTGACCCAAGTATGTCCAACTCTGCTACGATAGGTCGCAGTATACCTCCTGTGAGCTTGTTAGTTTTGGCCCTTTTTCTGGTTGACCTATTACGTCACAGATCAAATAATCAACAAACAAGTTAGCTATTGTTAGCTAGTGGGAAACTGGTACCAAAAGATTATGGCTCTGGATGTAGATTTTACCATGTTGTTCTTGTGTTATGCATTTATTGCTTTCAACTTCTGAGGTAAAGCCCGGTGCCAGAAACTGTAGAGCATGTACAGAGCACCTCTGCCAGTTTGGGTCTGATTGACTGTATACAGACAGGAGTAATTCAGCTCCCAATCACATTATCTAGATGTGTTTGTCCGACTTTGAGAAATTTCACTTAGTGCTATTTCAGTCAGACTAACATGTTTACATGTATTTTAAAAGTCTGGTTTTAGTTGGAGTAACACAATAAATCCATTTCTCTGATGTCATGTAAACGTACTGAATGAGAACCACTGCAAGCCCAGGAATTCTACTGTTGTCACTGAAGTAGTAGTAGTAGTAGAAATAGTAGTAGTAAGTAGTTGTATATATTACAGCTCAATTTCTTAAAATCAACTCGGTGAGATAATGTACAATATTATGGACATTATCATGAACATTCTGTACTAACAATGTAATCTGCTGCACAGTAATTTTTCTCGGGATAACTTTTACCTTGTCTTATGAACTGTTTAAAGCAAGGCTGCTGTTCTATGCAACATGTTAACATGTGAAATTCTACATTTTTCTCTTGTCAACAAATCCCTTGTTTGAACCCAAACCAACCATGCACATCTCGTAATGATTTCTAACTTTCATACTCTGTCTGTGGCTCTCAAAGCCCATTGGTTCCTACTAAAGACATCTATCTTAAAAAACACCATACTTGCATAGTGATTTCGTTTTTAAGAAACATCTGTAATTTCCCAAAACAGCTGGCCACTGTAGTTTTTATGCCTCCACGCCGGCGATAGCAGTAGCCAGAGACATTATGTTTTCAGGCTGTCTGTCTGTACATATGTATGTTTGTCCATCCATCCCCTTCTTGTGAATAAGATAACTCAAGACTGCCTTAATGGAATTTCTTCAAATTTGGCACAAAAGTCCCCTTAAACTCAATGGTGTACTGATTAGATTTTGGTAGTCAAAGGTCAAGATCAGTGTGACCTTGCATCCATCTAATTCTCGTGAATGTGAAGTCTCAAGAACACCTTGAAGGAATTTCTTCAAATTTGGCACAAATGTTCACTTGGACTAGAGAATAAACTACCTAAAATTTTGCGGTAGAAGGTCAAAGGTCAAGGTCACTGTGACCTTGACATTTGACACAAAACATGTTATTGGCCGTAACTCAAGAATTCTTACGCTAATTATGACAAGACTTCACACAAATGTCATCACTTCATCTAATGATAAAATGATGACATTTTATATCTATAAGGTCAAAGGTCAGCTTCAGTGTGACATCTTAATGTTCTGCATAAAACACTTTTCTGGCCATGACTCTACATCATGTCTCAGGAACAGAAAGAGAGACGTTTGGTCAGATTATGAATTCGTGACTCTAATCTTGGGTGCCCACCTTGAAACTGCTCTGATTTTATAGATCTTCTGAGCTGCTGGGGGAAGATGTGTGCAAAGCATCCATGTTTACACAGACATGTATGTAAACTGTAGGAAATACTTGACTGGTGCACTGAGGCGTACAACTGCGGGGCGTTAATTCTAGTTAAACAAATTTTATTCTAATAAGAGGAAATAGTGCATTTGTTAGGGATTATTTTTTAGCAACGGATGAATCCACACTTGGTGCTTGATGCTAAATATTTCGGGTAGAGGGACAGTGTATTGACTCCCATATAACTACAGTATTTCATGGTAATGAAGGAGCTTGTCACTCAGTGCAACAGCGTGGTTCACTGATGTGTGTTTAATAGTTTTTGGACAACACCTGAGCTCTGTGATATACACACAATACTTGTTAGTGTGGGATATGTTCACTGCAGGTTTGGGTCTTCTCAAAGGATCTGTTTTTTCACACAAAGATGAGCAGATGTTACTGTTTTTCTCTCAGTATCCGACTGTTATTGTGTCCTTTTGTCAGATTCTGGGAGTGTGGCTCACATATCGCTATAGGAACCAGAAGGACCCCCGAGCCAACCCCAGTGCTTTCCTGTGAGACAGCACCAGCTTCAGCCCTTCTCACCTCTCCACCTCTATGGACTTTCACTGGGCCTTAACTGTAAATACAACACTGACTTAAGTGTTTCTACTGACAGCTGCAGCCATGCTGTTATTATGATGTGCTTGGTTTTTCAAGAGTGAAGTGTGTTCTGAAAACAAGTGGTTATGTTTGAAGGAAGAACACATCTGTTGCCTCTAGTGTGACAGCTCTGCCTAAGAAAAGTGTATGAACATATACAGTTAGTACACTGAGCACTTGTGTGTGTAAAAAGAGGCAATATTGTCTACAGCAGTCTGCTGTATATTCCAGAAGTATTTATGCAGCCTGCCTGATGTTGACCCTGAACACTGTTTTATTCCTTTGGTTGTTATTTCCTTGTCAGCCCCAATGAATGCAACGATGTCAACTGCTACTCTGCATATTGATATGACTACATTATTTTGAAAGTATGAATACTGTGTGAGAATGTGTATGTGTGTGTGTGTGTGTGTGTGTGTGTGAGTGACTCTACTGCAGATATGAGCTACTGTATGAGAGCTACTGTTTTGATTGTGTAAACCACCTGTCTGAGCCTTTGTACTGTAAACCGCAATAAAACACTGATGGAAGAAGGATCTGGACTTACTAACAGCACTGTGGCAGGAGGTAAGAAAAGGTAGAGAGGAATACCCCAAAGCAAGGGTAACTGTATCATCTCTATTACCCAAAACTGACGCATCTCAACACAATTAACACAATCAGTGCTGAGATTATAAAGAAATGTAATCAGCTGCTGAATGTCCATGTAATTTTCACTACTTCTGATGCACGTGTCAAATTTTGTGAGTTTCAAATTTGGTAGGCACATGAAATCTCCAGGAGCACCATGCTCTGTACCTAACAGGAAGTTAGCCATTTTGAATCAGTTTACATTTGAAGTGCATCTTTTTATGCCTTAGCTGTAGCCATATTTTCAGGTTGTCCGTCCATCCCTCTCTCATGAACGCAATATCTCAAAAACACCTGAAGGGAATTTCTTCAAATTTGACACAAATGTCCACTTGGACTGAGGAATAAACTGATTAGAATTTGGTGGTCGGAGGTCAAAGGTCAAGGTCAGTCACAAAATATGTTTTTAGCCGTAACTCAAGAATCCATCCATTTTTCTGCTTATCTCAGGGCCGGGTTATGGGGGTAGCAAGCCAAGCAAAGCACCCTAGACATACCTCTCCCCAGCAATGCTTTCCAGCTCCTCCTGGGGGACACCAAGGTGTTCCCAGGCCAGACAAGATATGTAATCCCTCCAGCGTGCTCTGGGTCTACCCTGGGGCCTCCTACCAGTGGGACGTGCCCGGGACACCTTCAGCGGGAGGCGCCCAGGAGGCATCCTAGTCAGATGCCCGAACCACCTCAAATGACCCCTTTCGACGCGAAGGAGCAGTGGCTCTACTCCGAGCTCCCTCCGGATGTCCAAGCTCCTCACCCTATCTCTAAGGCTGAGCCCAGCCACCCCATGGAGGAAACTCATTTCTGCCGCTTGTATCCGCAATCTCATTCTTTCGGTCACTACCCAGAGCTCATGACCATAGGTGAGGGTTGGGATGTAGATGGAAAGCGACGGACCAGCACAGCGCCTGCATCATTGCAGAAGCCGCACCGACGCGCTTATCCATCTCACGCTTCATTCTACCCTCACTCATGAACAAGACCCTAAGATACTTGAATTCCCTCGCTTGAGGCAGTAACTTTCCCCCAACCCAGAGACGGAAATTCACCGGTTTCCGGCAGAGAACCATGGTCTCAGACTTGGAGGTGCTGATTCTCATCCCAACTGCTTCACGTTCAGCTGCACACCGCCCCAGTGCATGCTGGAGGTCACGGTGTGATTGAGCCAACAGAACCACATCATCTGCGACAAGCAGAGATGCAATTCTGAAGTCCCCAAACCAGACCCCTTCCACCCCCTGGCTGCGGCTTGAGATCCTGTCCATGAAAATCACTAACAGGATTGGTGACAAGGGACAACTTTGGCGGAGGCCAACACCCACTGAGAATGTGTTTGACTTTACACCAAGTATGCTGACACAGCTTTCACTTTGGTCACACAGGGACTGGATGGCTCGTAGCAGCGAGCCTGGCACCCCCTACTCCCGCAGCCTTCTCCAAGTCCACAAAGCACATCCCACGACCCCTCCAGCAGCCGCGCAAGGGTAAAGAGCTGGTCCACTGTTCCATGGCCAGGATGGAATTGGCATTGCTCCTCCTGAATCTGAGGTTCGACAATTGGTCGGAGCCTCCTTTCCAGCACCCTGGAGGAAACTTTACTCGGGAGGCTGAGCAGTGTGATACCCCGATAGTTGGAGCACACCCTCCGGTCCCCTTTTTTGAAGATGGGGACCATCACCCGCGTCTGCCACTCTGCAGGCACTGTACCGGACCTCCACGTGACACTGAAAAGGCGTGTCAGCCAAGACAGCCCAACAGTGTCGAGAGCCTTCAGCATCTCAGGGCAAATCTCATCCACACCCGGCGACTTGCCACTGGGGAGCTTTTTAACTACCTCAGCAACCTCTGCCAGGGATAGGGGCAAGAGTTCCCCCAAGTCTTCAGGCTCTACCTCGTTCACAATGGACATGATGGCCAGGTTCAGGAGGTCCTCAAAGTGCTCCTTCCACCTCCCGACAATCTCCCCAGTTCGGGTCAGCAGTTCTCCCTCTCTGCTGAGCACAGCCTGAGACAAGCCCTGCTTTCCCTTCCTGAGTTGGCTAACAGTCTGCCAGAACTTCCTTGAGGCCAACTGAAAGTCCTTCTCCATAGCCTCCCCGAATTCTTCCCACACCTGGGTTTTTGCTTCAGCAACTGCCACAGCTGCAGCCCTTCCGGACAACCGGTACCCATCCACTGCTCCAGGGGACCCCTCAATAAATCAATCCATTTTATTTATAAAGCCCAATATCACAAATAACAATTTGTCTACATACAACATCCCTCTGTCCTTAGGACCCTCACAGCTGATGAGGAAAAACTCCCCCCCAAAAAACCTTTAACAGGGAAAAAAATGGTAGAAACCTCAGGAAGAGCAACTGAGGAGGGATCCCTCTTCCAGGATGGACAGACATGCAATACATGCCATACAGAACAGATCAACATAATAAATTAACAGTAATCCATATACAAAATGATACATGAAGAGAGACAGAGAGAGGTGCAGGACAGACATTAGTGACAGTATCTTACAACAACATTAATTTAAGTAATATGATAATAATTACGGCTATTGTGGTACAATATGTTGTAGGTATACAGTACAGGCCAAAAGTTTGGACACACCTTCTCATTCAATGCGTTTTCTTTATTTTCATGACTATTTACATTGTAGATTCTCACTGAAGGCATCAAAACTATGAATGAACACATGTGGAGTTATGTACTTAACAAAAAAAGCTGAAATAACTGAAAACATGTTTTATATTCTAGTTTCTTCAAAATAGCCACCCTTTGCTCTGATTACTGCTTTGCACACTCTTGGCATTCTCTCCATGAGCTTCAAGAGGTAGTCACCTGAAATGGTTT